TTTGTTTTTAATAACTGTCAATCAAATTAAGTGTGTTAGACTAACTGCCACTTGGACGAATAATGATGAATTAGTATTAAATAAGAAATAATAGATTACATTAATTTAGAATGTGTGACAGCTGTTCAATACGAGGTTTTGCTGAAAAATTTGTAGAAAGAGGCTTGTAAGACTTGATAATAATATGCGTTGTTTCTAATGTCAAAACATTAAACTCTTCATCTAAATGTAGATGTAAGGGTGCATACATACAACGTTGCACATTGGGTCACTTAAACTGAAATATTTTCCAATAGGTAAATATACATCAGTATTTCGGGTAGATTAGATTAGATTAGGAGTTGGACGTTATTTGTCCTTGTCCACCGCGACCTTTTCAGATCTATTGTGGGACTCCGTTTGTTTTAGAGTATGTCGTCTAGCCTGGTCTTTTTTATTAGACTTAGTAGCTTTGACAGTGGCTCCCGCATGTAGTTGCATGCAATTGGCTTTTCTTCGCCCAATGTTAAAAACCTCATTCCAGCCAAGCCTTCACATTGGCACAGGACGTGGAATGATGTTTCCTCTTCTTCTTCACAGAACCTGCACAAAGTTGCTTCTTCTGCTGGATTTATGACACTCATGTGCCTTTTGAGGCGACAGTGTCCAGTAAGAAGGCCTACTGTTATCCTAACGATTTGACGTTTTTGATCCAGTAGGTCTTTCGTAAACTTGGCCGATGGTTCCTTGATGAACTGTTTGGCCTGTCTCAGTCTTGGATAGTTGTTCCACCATTCCTGAGACTCTTTTTGCATCCATTGTTTAATGGATGCCTTGCACAATGCCTTAGCGACTCCACAAAAGGGTTCAGGGCCTGTCATGGCCTTATCTGAGCCTTCTCGGGCTAATTCGTCGGCCTTTTCGTTGCCCTGATATCCCTCATGGCCTGGAACCCAGGCTAAGGTCACCTTATTTTGACTACTTAGCTCTGTCAGGTCTTCTAGACAGTCTTTCACCAGTCGTGATTTGATTTCTGGTGAGAGAATTGCCTTTAGAGCTGCTTGGCTATCAGAGTATATGGCAATAGTTTTGCCTGATACTTGCTGATTTAATATTTCTCTTGCACAGTGTTGTATGGCTATTAGCTCAGCCTGGAACACTGTTGCATATTTTCCTAAGCTTAGTGAAATCGTCGATTTCGACTTAGGTCCATAGATTCCAGCACCGGCTCCTTCCTTGGTTTTTGAACCGTCTGTGTACCAGACGAGTTCAGCCTGTACGGGAGGTCCCTGTTTCCAGGATTCTCGGGCTGGTATTTGAATTTGAAAATTTCTTTCAAATTTGTATGTGGTTATGGCTCTATCAGTAGGCATAGCTAGAATATTATCCCTTTGTACTTGCTGATATAGCCTTGTGTGGTCGGCGCTATGTAGTTGGCTTATTGGGTTTTGTCCCTGCATTAGCCTGTGAATAGCTGACCTGGTTTCTCCTTGTATGAAGATGTGCAATGGCGTGAGATTTAGTAATACCTCCATAGCTGCGGTCGGCGTAGTGCGCATGGCCCCAGTAGCACTTAGGCAAGCAAGCCGCTGAATGCTAGTGAGTTGGCCTATTGCACTTGCCTGCGCAGTTTTGGTTACCCACGCCACTGCGCCATAGGTTATCATGGGTCTTATTACCCTTGTGTATAACCATATGGTCATTTTGGGGTTTAGACCCCAGTTTTTCCCACATATTCTTCTACAGCTTACGAGAGCTATTGTAGCTTTATGTGTGAGTTTTTTGAGATGTTGATTCCATGTCAGCCTTTGGTCAAAAATGACTCCGAGGTATTTGGCTTCTGTGACGAATGGGATAACTGTGCTGTTTAGTACTAGTGGTCTTAGACCTGTGAGTACCCGTTTTTTTGTGAATGGTACAACTGTTGTTTTTTGTGCGTTGATGGACAATTGTTCCTTTTTGCACCAGTTGTTCACTATGTTTAGAGCTGTTTGAGATCGCTCCGAAACTGTACCTGCAAATCGCCCCCTGACGATGATTGCTAGGTCGTCTGCGTATCCTAGGCACTGGTAGCCTTCTTTGGATAATATTTTGAGTAAGTCGTCCACGAGAACTGACCACAGCATTGGAGATAGTATTCCTCCTTGTGGGCAGCCCCGTGTAACTTTTGCCTGTATGGTTGCCTTTCCTAGAGTGGATAAAATAATCCTGTTCTCTAGACAGGCAGTGATCCATTGGCATATTGTTACTGGGACGTTTCTCCCTTCTAGAGCCTTGGTTATTGACCTGGTTGAGGCATTGTTGAAAGCTCCTTCAATATCTAAGAAAGTGGTTATTGCGATTTCTTTGTCATCTATTGACTTTGAAAGCAGCCTGTTTAGATCGTCCAGCGCTAGGTCAGTTGACTTTCCTGGCTGGTATGCATATTGGTTGGGATGGAGCGGATTTATTTTTAGTATATCGTCCCTGATATACCTATCTATTAATCTTTCTACTGTTTTAAGTAGGAAGGAGGATAGGCTTATGGGGCGATATGACTTTGGCGTTTGGTCTGTGACCCTACCTACTTTGGCAAGGTAGACTACTTTCGCCTTTTGCCATATTGCTGGGATATATCTCCAGGCAATACATGCTCTGAAGATTTTGCATAAATGTGGCATTAACACATCTTTTCCCTTCTGGAGCAGAATTGGATACCTAAAGGTTCACGTGATTTTGAAAAATACAAGAACAACCTGTGGTCATAAAATTATTCTGAATTGGTAATCAAACGCATGTGACTTTAATAGCACAAATTTTCGAATTTCGAATGGACCAGCTCACACCACTAAAAAAACATCGGAACAAGATACATACATACCTAGGAGTACAAAATAATATAACATGAGGGTCACATAAGACTTGGTCCAATAAACAGGAAATGTCCTTAAAGAGTAATGAACTTGACAAGGGTCGGTTGATTTTATTATTTTGATATCAACTCCTTCTTTACTTAGACTTTATGATTTGTCAGACTTTCGCCAGACAATACCAGACAACGCCTATTTCTAAATGAAAAATATTTATAAATTTTACTAACAATATAATAATCTTAACTGTACACGTGGTTTACATAGGTCAACATTAGAAAAAGCAATTAACAATTAGCAATGAACGAAGCATGTTTCCTATCAATTTAAAATTAATTATACACAAAATTGTGTTTGTACACTTTTTTTTGTAGTTAAGTGAGCGTGTAGAAATGAATGCTGCAGTTACATTACGATATACAAGTAATGACTATTTAAATGGGTTATTTACGGAAAATAAATTGGATTAGATAAAAATGTTGAAACTAAAAATTTATTAATATTAAATATATTTTATAATTGTGGATGAAACTGTGATGAATAGTATAATAACAAATAATAAAACTAAAAAATAATGATGTGGTAGAAACATTACCAAATAGTTACTTAATCAAATTTAAAGAAATAATAAAATCAGAATCTATAAAGAGAGAAGAAAGAACCATTGGCGGAAGCATAAACTGAAGAAATAGAGAAAGAAGAGGAAAAAAAAATAAATTTTGGAAAATACATTGGAGAATAAACCCCAATATTAGGTATTTAGGTTAGACAGGAAAATAATGATTATTAGACAGTTTTAACAAAGTATATTCCTTTTGGTTTTAGAAATTTTACATTAAAAAAACATGGTTATACCGAGGTAATACTCACTAAATTTGGCCGATATAAAATGGAGGAAAGTTGTCCATATTGTATTTACCTGCAAAAAAAACGGAATTTGTATACTCGTGCCAAATTTCACAAACATCGATTCACATATAAAGGGTCACCCGGTATGAACAGCAAAAGGTGGTAGGGATATTCTAGTTTAATAAAATTAGTTATTTCTTATCAATATTCATTATAGTTAGGTATATTATCTTTTTTATTTAGGTATTTTGGGAAATAAATTAAAAAACAAATCATAATTAAATTTTATATTTATTTCACTATTTTAATAATGAAACGAATGCTTGATAACGTATTTAATTAAAAATCAAAGTGTTGGAATATAGTAAATAATTAATATTTAACTGTTTTATCTACGATTTTATATTTATATGTACATATCTACTTTTCATATTGAAAAGATTCTGTATCTTTCTTAAGAGTAAGAAAAAGGATGAACAGAGAAATTTACGTGAGAATAATGTTGACTTCGCGTCAACAATATGCTCGAATCGTCAGCTCCAGTCTTAAGCGAACTAGAGAAAATCATAAGCGTGCCAGCCAAAAATTATTGTTCTCCCAGGCCCTCGAATTTAACTGAAGTAACTGAACACGGTGCGCGCGTCGTACCCGTAGCTACATAATTATATTTGTGAATTCTTTTTTTTATGTTTAAAATATAATTTTGTGAGCTGACCTTTGCAGACTTGATCTTAATCATCGAGCATTTGAACGTGAATTAGATCGGATGATAAAATGTTTAACTACATTCTTTTTTTTAATGTGAAAAGATTAAGATACAAAAATAGTATAATTATATTTATAATCTTCAGATATTTAAGTGCTTAATTATAGTTTTGATTCAATACTTTTTAAATAAACGAAATAAGATAGAAATGTGCTGTTTCAACCACTAATTTTTTTTCCATTTATACAGAACGAGGAAAAAAATTTGCCTATTTTCAACTAAAAATAACTTGACTTGTTTAAATAGAACACCCTGCATATTTTTAATCCATTCGAAAGCTGACTTCTTTTGCTTTTAAAAAATGCTAGCTTGTGCAGTTTAATTTTTATATTAAAAAAAAGAAAACATTACCTATAACTATTTAAAAAGACAAAGAATGAAAAGACTCTAAAGTAAAAGGTATTTATTAAATTGGCAATGTAGTAAAAAATTTTAACTTACCCTTTTCCCTCCAATAAATGTGTTAACAATGCTATTAAACTGCTCCGCTGCATTGTTGTTTATTTACAGAATTATTAGATGGCTTGATGGACTTGTCCTTGCCTTTGACAAATTTATTACAAAAATTCTTTAGTAAATGGTACACATTCAATTTTCTGAATAGGTGTGGCTCCATAAGGTTTATGTGAGGACAATTTTTTAGTTTTGCTACTGTCTCCATCACCAACTAGCATTGTATACTTTAATCCATGCATCTCAACGCTACGTTGGAACCCGTCAAGAATAATCGCACTTTCCATAGATGTCGATGACCCTTTCCAATTCTTGGCACACTGATGTTGAGGTGTATCTTCGTTTTTAGTTTCAAATTTTAAGCCTATTATGCAAAACTTATTTTTGACTCCCATAAATAGAACCTTTTTGGTGGCTTTTCCAATAATAACAGCTAATCCAGATAATGCGTTGTAATTTGTCTTATATGATCTTTTAGACCATGCTCCATCTGCAATAACTGTTATATATGGTGTGCCAGTTGAATCGACATCTCCTTTTTCTTGATCTATTGTCGCTTCTTCTTCACCGGCTTTTCTCAACTCCTTTAGAAATACCTTGTCAACTATTTTTTCCATTTTATTATGAACTGTGTTGTACTGGACGGGAGTTAGAGCTGGCATATTTAAAATCCCCCTCCCACGCTCCGATTTCTTCCAAAAACTAATCAGATAAAGAATATTACCCATTTGATTTTTGGTGAAAATCTATTTAGCCTTTATTTTTGTTGTGCGCTCAAACGGCTAAAGATAAAAGCATGAAATTTTGGAAATGGTTACATCTAACTAATATCTAAAAAGTTATGGCAGCAGATTTTTGAAAAAAAATAAAATCGGAGTGAAAATATTTTTTTTCTCAAAAATTGGACTTTTCAAAAAAAATCTGCTCACATCCTTTTTTTCAGAAGTGTGAAGTAAATTAACTCCCAAAATTTCAAAAAAATTGCTTGGTAAATAAGGGCGTTTGACTTTTATTTCAAATAAGCAAGGGTATGTATTATATCTTGCTGATATTCTAATTATTTTTTTTACTGTTGTCATTTCTACCTTTCATTTGAAACACCTTATGTTCAAAATTTCTTATTGTCTTGCTTTCACTATTTTTTAACTTTTATCATATGATTTCTACCTATTTATTGGCGTTTTTTATTGGCACTGTCAGTACACATTAAGTATATTTGTGTCATTGTTTATCGATAATATTTTATTTGCTTCTTCACTCAGTAGATTAATTTGTTGTTGTCGTTTGTACATAATATATATGCAAGACTGGAACAGATTGACAATATCACGTAAAAATTATTAAATAAATGCAACTGCTTTAATTTATGCTAATACAAATCATGATTTATGATTATTATAATAAATTTTCCGATTAACCTATAACAATCTACATAAATTTTATCTTTATCGGACACACATTTAACGACTACATATCTACAATAAATCATTGCATAACATTTCTATTCGGTGGCTGTTAAGGTGAACGCTGCACGTACTACAACATTCCAAAATGAAAATACCGACATTTGTAAACAGTCTAAGTATGATTATGACGGATACTCAAAATATTATTAAGGTTTTTTAGATAAGCAAGATATGTAATGACTCAGAATGTTCTATATTTTTATTATGTGGGAATAATAAGTGTTAAAAATTATACTAAGATTACATTTCCGAAGAAAAGTCTGTATATAGTGTAAAAAAATATATTTTTGTAATTGAATCAAGTCATAAAAGAGTATTTTAAAATAAAGTATATAATTAGAAAGTGATTTTTTCACCCAAGAACTAATCCTTCCAGCCCTACGGATCGCCCAGGTATTTCCAACATAATTTTGGTCAATCTGCAACAGCTGCGTGTATTAGAGAAACGCCATTAGTCAGCGACTTACGGGGTTTCTCAAGTAAAGCAGATTTTGACGAAAATTTAATACAAGGAGTAATTACCTCCATTACCCCCCATATATGCGCCCCTGTGATAATTGGCCAGAATATTTTATTATAATAGTTTAACAAATATATGACAATTATTTTTATCGTAAAATTTACGCACGACTAGTTTCATACTATTTTTTATTTGAATTGGCGCCTCAACTGTATAGGAATGTAGCTATTAAAACAAACAATCTTAGAAATAATAGCAAACTGTTCGCTATATTTCAAATCATAAATTTCCCTGACACTCATAAGGCATTTAATAATTTAACTAGTTTTAAATTTAGCTTTTTGAAGAGGTTATTACACCGCACTCAAAAGTCTTCAGTTCAAGTATACTCTGTTGATTTTCCTTAAATAACATTGTATTGCGTATATACATTATAAGTATTGCGTCTAATCTTAATTAATTAGTTCTTAACTTTGACCTAATGTTGAAATAAGGTTTCTGTATCATTAAAAACATTAAAAAGATAATTAGTTTTTATGGTTTTTTTTAAAAAAGAAATTTTGATGACTTGTAGAAGTCCTTATCAATAATTATCGTTATTAACAATTGTCCTTCTTCTTATCAACAATTATATTTATTAACAAATATTGTTATTATAAACAATTATTCTTATTAACAATTAATATTATTAACAATTGTTCTTATTAACAATTAATTATCCTAATCAACAATTGTGTATATTAATAGTTGTTACTGAACATTTTTCTTACTAACAATTGTCCTAATCAAAAATGATCCTTAATAACAATTGTTCTGATAATTATTATTGTCCTTATCAAAAATTATCCCTATCAACAATTGCCTTTATCATAATGGTATTGATCAACAATTACTGTCCTAATAATAATAATTTACAATTGTTCTTATCAACAATTAATTGTCCTTAAAAACAATAGTATTGATCAACTATTTACAATTACTGTTCTCATTATCAACAACAGTTTTGTTACATTTATCTCTATAATAATTGTATTTATTAACAATTATCTTTATCCTTAACACAATGGTCTCGATCAACAATTATTGTCCTTGTCAAAAATTGTCCATATCAACAATTATTCTTGTTGTATTTGGCCCGTGTTTTTCTTGGACCTACGCTGGCCCAAAAGTTTTATTTCATGTGGCCCAAAAAAAATGTATTTTTCTATATTATGATGGCAGTCAAAATGTTAAATCTGTCCTTATAATAATTATATTTGAGCGGAACTTCAGCAACCATGACTGGCTTTTAAAGTAGTACTAGCGAATTTTTTTAGATAAATTTAGAATTTGAGCCAACAAATAATTTGGGCGAGATTTAAGAGGGATGCAGTGGCGGCTTAGTAATATAAAAAGGGTGTTCACTTTTTTCCAATAATTTGTGCAATTAATTGGAACAAATTCTAAATGTAATAAAATTTATATTTATCTTTTCATTGTACATATTTTTAAAACACTTAAATACGTGAATTTTTTTCCTAAAATAAACTTATTAATTATTATAATTATCGACTGTTTAGTTAGATAACAGTTCTATATTAAAGCGGCAAGTCATGGAACACATGTTAAAAAAACTTTGGATGATCGGTTCAAGGATTTTTATAATACGAATTTTATTAGTAAACGAACTACAAATGATTTTTAAAATTACGGTTTCCTTGAAACTATTCCACAAACGATACACATACCTATTTGAAAACAGTGAAATCATTATTAAGAAGCACGTATTATCAGGAAATAAACAAGGTATTAATGATAGAATACTTTTAATGGTAAAACATTATTTGTAATTAAATAGTACACCTATACCATTAGAGCATACCTTCATAATACAGAAAGCTGTAGATATGTTAGTAGAAATGATTGTAAACTCAAACAACAGATTTTCGAGGAACTGTAGTATACAGGGTTTGTCAGAAATAAATTTACTATTAATTATTTTGATGAGTAACCCATTAAAACCATGTATATCTATAAAAATTGTATGTTGACAGGACTAATTGTAAATATCACTAAATATATCTCAGTAATATTAAATTTAATACTGTTTTCCGAACTTGAAAACGACTTACATCTACTCGTATTTGTTTGGTGTCAGTTATTCATTTGAAGTTTTAATGTTAATTATTCACATGCTTCTAATGTTTTAATACAAAATAAAACATTTATTTACATTTTTTTTTATTTTAGAACATTTCATAAGGAGTTTGTAGAAAAAGGAGAGGGTTTCGCTTGTCGAAAATCATTTTCCTGGCCTCTGAAACAATATAATATTATGTATTCATTGTGATAGTAAAAAAAGTATAGTACGTAAGTAGAGTATTATACAATTAGGCACTCATGAACTTACAGTCTGTTCGCTGTACTTACGCGGGTTTCGGATTAAAAATTTTATGAGTATTTCCAGGTAAGTACCCGAAAGTTTGACCTGTTCTTTGGGGGAAATATTAACTGGTTAAATGAAATGAAAAATAATGTACAACTTTTTAATTAAATAATAATGGAGAATCTTTTGTATAATTGAGAGCAGAATTAAACTTCTTCATTAATGGAATCTAGTGTGGCTATTATAAACCTAATAATAATTTTATATTACACTTCACACAGAAAAATTTGGTCTATGTATAATAAGAGGGTTATTTAGCTCAAATAAAATATTTTCTAACATAAAAATTTGTTCCATGTAGAGAATTTCAAATGAAAAATAAAAAAATTGAACTTGCCAACAAATCAGTCATTATCATCCAAAATATCATATTCGTCATCATCATCACTGTCATCACCATTAATTGTTATTATGATTGGACTTATTTCGTTTATTTTATTTTCACGAGTCCACCAATCTTCTATTAGTTTCCGCCACACTTCTGGAGTTGCAATTGAAAGTGCTTTTCGCCAAGTTTCCCGAACTGCGTCGTCACTATAACCATTAGGCCCAATATGGTTGTCATAATATTGTTTTGCTATTCCCCATAAATATTCGATGGGATTAAACTGGCAATAATACGGTGGCAGACGTAAAACTTGATGACCGTAACTTTCAATAATCTGATCCACAACAAAGGTTTTTGGTTTTGCGTGTATATTTGCCAAGCGTAATAATTCTGATTTTAATATATATTGAGGAAATGGTATATGTTCCATTGTCAACCATTCTTTAATTTTATCAACAGTCCAAGAATTCGTTGGACTTTTGTTTAATAGTTCATAATGGTAAGGTGTATTGTCTAAAATAATTACGCTGGGCTCACTTAAACCTGGGAGAAGTTTTTCATGCAACCATTTTACAAACATTTCTGTGTTCATATTATCGTGATAGTCCTTGGATCTTGATTTAGATGAAAATATTAAATCAGCACCTTCTATAAAACCCGATTTCCCTCCTGCATGTGTCGCTTCCCTTCTCCATCGGTATGTTTGATGGACTTTACGTTATCATCTTGCCATATTCTCTTGGTTGTACTGCTAGAAAATATCCATGTTCCGTCTAAATATATAAAATTCGCCCCTTCTTCTTTAAATTTAGAATATACCTACTCTAATGTTATTTTAAATTAAATCTGACCATTAGGGTAATTTTACCTAATTTCTTGGGAAGAGGCTTATCGGAACTTGTTGTCAACGACTAATTTGCATAATTTTGTTAATCCGAAACCCGCGTAAGTATAGCGAACAGACTGTACAACTTTTGTGCTTATTGTACTATTCCAATTATCGTCTTATAATGCTAAAATATTTTAATTATTCACAATTTTAATAATCACCTTTTTTGAACGGAAACATTAAAAATAATAATACCGACTTCATTATTTCGAAATAAGAATTATTTACTAACAAAACTTCTTCCTTATCCAAAACTAGTTATTATCCTTTTGTAATTACGAATCAGTTTGAAAACGTATACCGCTTATTAAAGCAAACGTGTGTGGTAACAATGAAAAATTACATCACAAGTATTATGGTCATACTACTTATTAAATTGTTTTTGTTGAACGTCCACATTAATTGAACTTGTTAAAACATTTTGGTTAAGATCGTGAATGAGAAGGTTGAAATTTTATTAGTTTAATTGATACTGGTCTACAACGTGGGATAGTATTTAATTTAAGACGAACATTTACAATTGATCAGGATTATTTTGATATTGACACAAGTACTACATACTTTGTTAACTGTTTTTACCTTATTAACAATCTATCCAATGAGTAAAAAAGTGCTCAAAAAAGTTATATAAACAACTATATAACAATTTGTTACAAAAATTAAAGCTTTTTCGCTACCAGAGTTAATTAAATTTTGAATCACACTCCCTGATTTATTTATACATAGCTATTATCCAGTGTGTTTACCTTAAAAGAACATAGTCATTAGCGGTAAGTGAACAGGTTGCTCACATTTCATCTTTTTTTTATATATAGAAGAGGCTTTAGATGGTTTTTGTGGTAACGTTGACAGTGTAGGATCGAGATTATTAAATAACAGGTTTTTAATAGTCTAAAACGGTATTACCGCATATTTGCATTGATTATAGCAGATATATGTTGAAATGATCATTTTAATGTTAAATATATTGTGTTTGGACAAACTGTTAATATTAATTAATATAATAATAATGGAGATATAAGCTTAGTACTTTTTGCAATCGTGTTTTCGTTTTAAATTACATCTAAATGAATGCCGTTTGTCCCGCTCAAAACAATAAGACAATTACGCGGCTGTCTACGAACGATGACCGCCATCTTGTAGAATATTGTTAGGTTAGATTGACTGCTGTCCCTTGTAGCTATTGGTCACAATGTTCGCTGATTGATGACATTGGCAGTTAATACCAATAAAGACAAATGGCGCGGCTGTCTATGAGGCCTTTACGTAAACGATGGTGACCAGATTGTACTTTACAAAACTATTATGTTGGCAACACTACTATTAGAACAGGTATATTTTTGGACCTGGATTCATTACCTAATTTGTCAATAGACATCTCCTATATGAGTTCGGAAACACTCTTTATATGAAAACCCCCAAAAGAGTATAAAGATGGGTAGTACCCACTGGGAATTAAGAAATATATTCCTTATTTTTTCCTTCTTATACACATTTTAAATATATTTTTTTTTATTTCTTGATGATAAAATGTTGATATTTAAATAGCGCCTATATAAAAACGTTTTAAATTGGTATATCTTTAAATTATTCACTAATTAAACATTTGTTTGTTTCAGATTACTCATCACAGCTTCCAAATCCCGAGTTTGTCTTCATCATTATCGGGATTACCCAAAGGCAATTCTGAATTAACTACCGAGAATGTATCCTACATTGTTTAACAACCGTCAATTACCAGATGTATAAAAAGGACCATACAATATTTTTAAACTGCTAATTCAGTGGAACAAATGTGTGAATATTGTCATTTTAAACTATAAACATTAAATATTAATAAAATGTGTTGTTCTTGTTTAAAACATTCTGTATAAAGTGACAACGACGTGAATATATTTCTATTAGTACAGTGACGTTGTTGGTGATCGTATTTTTGTTTAATTTGTGGGTGTTAGTAAGGTGCGTTTTGTGAAATCGATGGTTGGAAGTGGAGAACCATGGATCTAGCAAAGGAGAATTACAATCCAAATCCGAGGGATAGTGCCAATCCACTATCAATTTTATTTTTCACGTAAGTAAATTTTATATATTAATAAAAGTACAATATATATATATATATATAAAGAAATTATTTTAGTTCCAGTATGTGGTAATCATGCAACAAAATTTTGATTTATATTGTGATGGTATTAATGAAAAATAAAATTTTATAATAAAAATACTCTTAGACATTTCAAATTGTATTATCTTTTCAAAAGTTTTATTTTAAATTTTGTATCTCTATTCGTTTTTACATAATGGACATTTTTCTAAATTTTCACTTGTTTTTTATGTCTGTCCCTCAAATTAAAAATACAAAAAGTTTTGTTGGTGGTGCATACGAGTGCATAAGGAGTGCATACCGGTGCAATAGTTTTTTTGCTAAAACTTCATAGGGGAGGGAGCTAAATTCACGACAAAGAAATCGTTGTAACTACTGAAGGTAGGGGGCGCAAAAAGTTTAATTGGTGGTGCACATGAATGCATCAGGAGTGTATACCGGTGCAATATTTTTTTTGTGAAAAAATCATTGAGGGGGCAATTTCACGGTAAAGAAACAGCTATAACTACCAAAGGAAGGGGGTGTAAAAAGTTTGATTGGTGGTGCATATGAGTGTCTGATAAGGGCTAACTGATGCATTACAGTAAATCTTAAAATTTTCACTGGGGGGCAACGTTCATTTGCCCCCCCCCCCCCCCCCCCCCCCCCCTTCCACAAATAAAAAGCTGTAGTTTCTCGAAGAAGGTGGTGCAAAAAAAATAAATAGTGGTGCATATTGGTGCATTCTAGTACAATAGTTTTTTTTATCAAAAATTTCATTAGGAGGGGGGCAACTTCATTCACCTGCTGAATAGACAGTTTTTAATTCAACATATCATTATACAGTGCGTCCATAAAGTAACGCATCAATTCATTATTGGCTAAATGAACAATAAAATTAGGAATTCCCAAAACAGGTCGATTTTTGATTTCAATTTACTATTGTTTCAAATCATAATCTAATATACAGGGTGAACCACTTTCGTGTAATGACGTCATCACCATTTTTTTCAAATGGAACCCCCCCTTTTTTTTCAATTTCCAAATTGCCTTTGCTGAGCTGATTCCAAAAATGTATAATATGTTGCTTCAAATTGGTACAGGGTGGGCAAAAATGCAAAAATTTACTTACAAAGTAATGAAAATAACGAATAAACGTAATAAACACATTAAATGAAATTACGTATTGTTATTACAACTACTTTGATAAACTATCAAGAACATACAGCATTATTCTTAATAATTGTATCTTACAGCTTTTATTAGTGATCCAAGCCCCTGGACTATAAAAATCTTTTTGTTTGGCATTATCTTTTACCAGTTTTTTTTATTTGACATACCAGTTTTTTTTATTTGACAACACTGTCAAAAACATTGAAGCACAGTTTCGTATTGTTAACGCTGTAGAGAAGGTACGTTCGTGAACTTTTTTTACAAAATGCCTTTAACCGAAAGTGACAGGATTGAAATATTAATGATGATTGGTATTGGCGATAAGATGCGGACTCAACAAGAGGTATGCCGATTATTCCATGAAATGCACCCAGATCGTGAACCTATTTCACAATCTACGGTAAGTAGAATAGAGCGAAAATACAGAGAATTAGGGCATGTGAGGGATGCAGCAAGGCAAGGTAGACCAAAAATTGATGAAAATATTCAACAAGACATAATTTTGTCGGCTGTAGAAAATCCACACTGTACAGTGCGAGGATTATCTAGGGATTTTGGTATTGGAAAGTCTTCAGTATCAAACATTTTCAAAAAGGTAAAATACCATCCTTATAAAGTACGTCTCGTTCATGAATTGGCTGAAGACGACTTTGACCGAAGAACTGAATTCTGCGAGTATATGATGAACCAAAATAACAATTTCATTGATAACGTTTTATTTTCGGACGAGGCAACGTTTTATTTGAACGGTCATGTTAACCGGCAAAACACCCATTATTGGTCTGATGAAAATCCACACTGGATGCAAGAGTACCATACGCAAAGACCACAAAAAACTAACGTATGGGCTGGTATTGTGAGAAATACAATTATTGGTCCATATTTTTTCGATGAAAACTTAACAGGAGCATTATATCTGGATTTCCTACAAAATACATTAATTCCTGATCTGATCCAGCTTTTTCCTGATATTCAAATACCCACTAATGTAGACCGCAGAATCTGGTTTCAACAGGATGGCGCACCGCCACATTACGCAGTAGCTGTGCGCAATTTTTTAAACACAACTTTTCCACAAAGGTGGATAGGAAGAAGGGGACCAGTGGAATGGCCTGCTAGATCACCTGATCTGAACCCATTAGACTTCTTTTTATGGGGTTATTTAAAATCTAAAGTCTACTTCAACAGACCTGGAAATATCCCTCAACTACAAGACCGAATCAGACAAGAAATACAGAGCATAACACCCGCTATGCTACAGAATGTTAGAGACGAAAGTAATGCCCGGTTCAGTCATTGTCTAACGGTCAATGGAGAACAATTTGAACATTTATTGTAAATTTTCGTTCGTTTGTTTGTTTGTTTTTGGAAGTGTATCACATTAATTGCATAACTACATAATTCCATTTAATTTGTTTATTACATTCAGTAACGTATTACTTTCCATAAACAATTTTCATATTTTTTTTTGCATTTTTGCCCACCCTGTACCAATTTGAAGCAACATATTATACATTTTTGGAATCAGCTCAGCAAAGGCAATTTGGAAATTGAAAAAAAAAGGGGGTTCCATTTGAAAAAAATGGTGATGACGTCATTACACGAAAGTGGTTCACCCTGTATATTAGATTATGATTTGAAACAATAGTAAATTGAAATCAAAAATCGACCTGTTTTGGGAATTCCTAATTTTATTGTTCATTTAGCCAATAATGAATTTATGCGTTACTTTATGGACGCACTGTATACTATATCTGTAACCGCCATGGAAACCACAACACGTGGCTTAAACAATTAAATTTTTATGTATTTGCATTCAGCTATTGTTTTTAATTAAAATAAATTATTGTTCGAAATTTTTTAATTGCAACCAACAAAATGTTCACTTGTTTTTTATGTCTCTCCCTTAAATTAAAATTGCATTTAATTTTAAATCGATGTTAAAAATACTCTATACTGTATGTACAATACAAAGAAAAGGTTGGCAAACGTAGATACATTAAAAAATTTATAATTTTAGAAAGGAAAGTAGGTAAAACAACTTAAAATTACTAATTACTAAAAAAAATTTGAATAACACAAGTATTAGAAATTTAAAAAAAAACCGACTTCAAAAACGTGCAGATGCCATCACCGTATCTTAACCAAATTTATATGGGACCACCCCTGAGGTACCCGCTTACTAACAAAAAAAGAATCATATAAATCGGACAAGGTGGTAAAGCATTATCGCTAAACATACATAAAAAATGAAGAGTTTGAGGATTTTCTCATGGACCCAATTATTAGATTTTGACCAAATTTAAATGGGACTACCCCTGAAATATCCCCTTTCTAACAAAAAAGAATCATTAAAATCGGACACCGTATTAAAGAATTATCACTGAACATACATAAAAAAAAATATTGCGATGAATTGAGAACCTCCTCCTATTTTGAAGTCGGTTGAAAAGAAAGTCGGCGGCTACATCGATGCCTTCCGTTGTTCGACTGACTACAGTTCGATTTAAAATCTTCCAGAAACAAGTACAACTTATTCTGCAGAGCTGACAGCTATCCTATAAGGCCTTACCAACATTAACCAGCAAAAATTTAGTAACTATTTTATTATATCTGACCCACTAAGTTCTATTATAGCATTATCAAAGTTGTATATCAGTCATCTGGTATTTATTTTAATAAAAACAGAAATAGAGAAAGCACATAGTCAAAACATCAATATTAAATTTCTTTGGACACCATCTCACATAGGCATTCAGCGCAATGAAAGAGCCCGATAGTTTAGCTAAAAGAGCAATTTCTATACATATTTTCACAGCATTACGTATTTGGAGAAAAAAATTGAGTTTATCAACATCTAAGCTGGCCGAAGTGAATGAAGGCCTCTCTACTCCCTTGGAAGAACATCGAAGATGAGAGTTTTAGGACGACATTTGCCCTAAAATTCTCTAAGAAAGTTTTCTCGTTTTCAGTGAATTGGACGTTCTATATTATCCAGATAATTAACTTTCAATTTTCTTACAAAGCTCTCTTCATGGAACTTTATAGCGATTTCTTGAGGACATTGGTTACGGATAGTTGAGTCTGGGTGGCTGAATAAAATTAATTCAGTTTTTTAGGATTAAGAGAGATCTTTTATATACGACACGAGCGATATTAGTAAAAAGAGCAATACCAACTGAATATAGTTGGAATGTGGATTGTAGAGGAAGTACTGACTTTAAAGTATTCCAGCTTAAGGATTGAATGTCTTCTTTATCAAAAAGGAGGACTTAATGATTTTTATGATGTTGATTAAGGAGACCTATGTTCACTAGCATACCTGCACGCAAAGGTGGACTGATGAAGCAATGTGGTAGCAATGACATGAAGTGCAATGGCTTTGGTGCAATCGTGGGAGTCGAAGCCCTATTGGGATTAAAAAATAAAAGTCTCAAATCCTATCACTGAGGAGAAGATCAAGGAGTATTTACAGGAATGATATGAGGGAGATGGGGTAGTAAATTTCAGATATTTTTTGAGGTTTTGTCTGGGTTGGAAATACGACTGGTGTAGGAAAATTGAATTTAGACAAGAAATGTTTATTCTTTACGTATACCACTAAATTAGTAAACGCATCACATGCACCGACTATAAAATAATAGCTGTCTTGAAATCCATTTCACCAGAATAATAAAATACATAAGAAAGTTGAGACACTTACCAATAGGTACATAAATAACACATTCAAGCCGTAAAAAATTTGTGCAAGATTGTAAACCGTAAACATACTTTTTACGGGCTTTTATAGTTTTTTTATCGCTGTCAAGAACGTTTTA